CCCTGCTTGAGCAGGGAGGTTGGACTAGATGATCTCCAGAGGTCCCTTCCAACCTAAACGATTCTGTGATTCTGTGACCTTTGGTGGTCCCTTTCAACCTAAATCATTCTGTATGTATGTTGCTTTCCAAGCTAAAGGGAGTGGTTGTGTTTGGCATTACAAGACTGTTTTGGGCTTTATGTTTTGGGCTGATACGCTTAAGCTCTCTAAGGCCTATTAGAATCCGGGTATTGTATGGGTCAGATCAACTAGTAAGTTACAGTACTTTTTCTCTGAACTCTAAACTTGGAATGCTAAATTACCGTTTACCTTTATAGAAGCAAGCAGTGACTTAACCCCTCTCTCCTCCTCCACTTCATAAAAGCTGGCAAAACAATCATATTTTCCTTTAAATAAAACAAGAAATATATATCTAGGTCTGGACAGACACAGTAAAACATGTATATTCATTTCTTCAGCACTCCTGAACGTTCTTTGGCCTCATATCAGAGGCATCTAAGGAGGCCACGATTTTCCTTTCCATATGTAATTTTTCATCTGAATCATGGAATCTTTTCGTTTGCTGCTTTTTTTTTTCTTTTTAGCTGAAAGGATTCCTTTATTCTTCTGCCTGTCAACACTTGATTTTTCTCTACAAGTCTTTTTTGAATTGTAAAACCTGCTCCATCACTTTGTTCTGCCTTTGAGAGTGTAATTTAAAAATTGGTTTAAAATGATGCCATGGCCTTTTACTTTCACTAGAGCTTGTTTATTATGCGGTGGGCTGCATCAATTCAAAATTATGTGTGTCCCTTTCCTGGTTTTCATGGTTTTGTTTTTGTTTCAGTTCCCATATCTGACACTCTGCATGGCTGCATGATCACTCGTACTAACAAAGGGAAGAGGTGGGAAAGCGTAGGAGGGTAGGGAGGGAAAAACAGCTCTTTTCTTTACACTCGTGATGTCGGCACCCTCCTCCATGGGACAGTGCTCAAGCAATTGCATTTGATTTAGGATGTGGTTACTGCTGCTGTTCTCATAACAACACTTTATGCAGCTGCCAACTCTTATTTCACAGAATCATTGACGATGGAAGGCACCTCTGGAGATCACCTAGTCCAACCCCTCTGCTCAGAGCTGGCTCAACTAGAATAGGTTGCTCAGGGCTGTGTCCAGCTGTGTTTTGAATATCTCCCAGAATGGAAACTCCACAGCCTCTGTGAGCAACCTGCATTTGACCACCTTCATAGTACAGAAGTGTTTTCTTGTGTTTAAGTGGCATTCCTTGTATTTTAATTTGTGCCTATTGCTTCTTGTTTTTTCACTGGATACCACTGAGAAGAGTCTGGCTGTGTATCCTTTACTCCCCCTGCCCCAATATTTATGCATGTTGAGAAGACCCAGCCCCACAACCAAGCCTGCTGTTCTCTAGGCTACGTAGTCTCAGCCTCTCCTCATATGATAGATCCTCCAAACCCTTAGTTATCTTCATGGCCCTTTGCGCTCCAGCGTGTCTGTGTCTGTCCTTCTGCAAAGCTGCTCTCCAGCTGCTCCGTTCCAAGCCTGTACTAGTGCATGGGGTTTTTCTTCCGCAGGTGCAGAGCTTCACATATCCCTGTCTTGAATGTCATGAGATTCCTGTTAGCACTTTTCTCCAGCCTGTCGAGGTCCTTCCAGATGGCATCACAACTGTCTGGTGCATCAACCTCTCCTTCCAATTTTGTATCATCCGCAAACTTGTGGAGGGTGTACACTCTCCCATCAAGGAGGTCAATAACGGAAGATGTTAAACAGTGCTGGCCTCATTATCAACTCTGGGGCACCCCACTAGTCACTGGCTGCCAGCTGGCCTTTGTGATACTGATCACAATCCTTTGAGCCTAGCAGTTCAGCCAGTTTTCAACTACTTCACTATCTACTTTAATCGCCAGTCTATTCATAGATGTGAATGCAGTACTTTTTGTCTTTGTTACATAGAAAAGGAAGTCTGCCAACATACGAGCTCACAAAGATCATTTGGCAAGTCCCTCACTAAAATCCATTTGCTGATGTGAACATCATGTATGTTGCATGTGAAAATATTAATGGGAGTTTGTCATCTGCCTTTGCAGATTTGTTAAATGCTCTTCTGGTTTTACATTCTTTATTTTACGCAGATATGTCTCTAATATTAGGCACTCAGATGCTGGAATATTTGAGCTGCGAGACAACTGTCATCTTGCCAAAGATTAAGTCATTTCACAGAACATCTGCTCTCACAAAGCATATATATTTAGAATTACTGTAAATGCAGAATAAATTTCTGACTTATTCCTGTAGACTTAATAAAACAGATTACTTTCTCTGTGAGTGTGCAATTTAAGTAGGATTAGCTGATAGCTGCATTGTAGCACCTGTGACTATGCTTGAAGAAAAAGTTTTTCTTCCATAAAGTTGAGAAGAGGTCTTGCAGCCACAGAGTCCAGGATAAGCCTACTTGAAGAATTTGCTCCTTCTGTTTTTTCCTTGCTTGAATTTATTATTTTCCGAATCATAGCAGTGGTTACGTTGGGAGCTGCAATGCCATGAACAGGGAGTACACCTGTACGTAGAGTAAGAGCCAACTTAAATTTAAAATGAAAGATGTTTTCCTAAAACTATTTATTATAATACAAATACAACAAAAGGAAATAAAGAAGGAAAATAAAAAAAAATTGCAGTTAAAAAATAAATGAAATGTTTTCAGGTCCGCTGGGAAACTTTGGCTATTAAACTGTTAGACTTTGGTGTACAACACTTTAAATACCAGTAATGTTTTATCATCATTCTTAATAATTATGTTACTTTGATGTTGATAAAATTATTTATGCCAGAGGATAGCACTAAAGGTTTAAAAATGATGGAAGAGTAAATGTTTTAGCCTAATTGAAATTATTAAATCCAAAGGAAGCAGGTTTATCTTGTAAAATAAATATAACAAACTCTCCAACTAGAATAAAACAAGAGCAGTTCAATTAAATATTATGGAATAAAAAGATTAACTCTAATTCCATATTGCATTGAAATTTATATTTTTTAAAAATAATCAACTTAAACTAAAACGTATGGATAATGCTACTGCCTGTCATTCACAGTATTGCCTATACAGGCTAACACAAGAAGTCTGGTGATTGCAGGTTGCCGAGACATTCCTTGAAGAATACTTATCACAAATTATATGTGTGTATATATACCTGCAGCAAATTGTGGATGTGCTGTGGAAAGCATGTGACTTGCTCCTTCATATGAGATAATTAGTATGAAGCAGGAACAGATTGGTATGTGTAACTCACTAGAATGTTTGCAGCAGAAGCCTTAAAATCTGGTGGTGTTTTTAGCAGACACTGCAAGTAAAGTAGGAGGCCCTAGCTGCCTCCTAGTATTGTGAGTTTATTCTGATACCAGGTAAAAGGATGATGGAAAGACTGAGTTTGACAGCTGCCTGCTTTCTTAGTTTAAGCAATGTATTTCAAGGCGTAAACTTTGTCTAATACTAATGCATGCAGGACTTATCATGTTATCTCGTTCTAGGTCCCAGGTTGGGTAGTTTGTTAGGAATGTGGGGAAGAGAGAGAACCGTACTGATCAGGCTTTATATATCTTTTTCTCACCTGTGAAACCGTAATGTCTTCGAGGCCACTGCCTAATCTGTTTTCTGCTATGGGCTATTCCTTCACTGTGGTTCAATATTCACAAGCTCTTACCCAACATTTTGTTGCTGGGATGGCCCTTTGGCTTTAATCAGCTACTTTGGACTCTGCCCCAAGGGAGACGTTTACAAACTTGCCACATTCCTCATGTTACACTCTGCTTCACCACACATCTAAAATAAAATCACTGAGGCTAAAATAAAATCCCTCTGCATTTGCTCCATTGTCCAGTTATATCATTTCAATAAGACTGAAGCACGCTCTCGCTCTCTCTCAGGTGAGGTCAGTGGCTCTCTTTAGTCATTGTTGTCTTGAAGACAGCTCTTCATACTTTTCTTTTGAGTCTAGGTTGTATTTGATCAATAGGTGGGGGTTTTAGAGCAATGGAAGGGTGAGATGAAAGTAGGGATGGCTGGGAATTTTTTTAATATTCAGATACTGAGAAGCATTTAAGAGTTTTGTGATGATGTTCCCTCTTCTATGAATCTTTTTTGCTGTTTATCAGGCTTTTCCAGGGATAAAGGGAAAAGCACCAGTAGATAACGTTCATGCTTCCTGAACTACTGAAAATATGGTTGGATATTTTTATAGCAAAACCACATAATTGTAAGGTAAAAAAACCAAACAGTTTTCTTCGTAGTTGGTGTTTTTCTTTAACTTGCACTTATCTGCAGTCATGTTATAATTTGATTTTTAAGAATTTACTGAGTTAAATCTGCGTTGTTTCAGTTGATTATTTCTGTTCTGTTGCAGGAAGTTCCACCACCAGGATCCTATGAGGTCCAAAAATCCTATGAAAAAACGTATGGAAAAAGCCACTATATGTCTCCACGAACCACACTGGCTAAAAGAAAGCAAGGCTCCTTTCTCAGTGCGGCACCTAGAGACAGCTTACTTATGACTGACAAGGATATACCAGGTGAGTTTATTTTTTGTCTAGTGTCTAAAATAATAAAATATTATTTTATTTTCTGGCAACTGCTATGAAATATTAGTAGAGTGTTACATAGCCATTGATTTTTAGACAGGACTAGTTCAAGGAACTTCAGGTTCAATAGGGACTAGCTACCTTAATCCCCTTATAAGAGTGCTGAACATCACAGCATTTTAGTGACCAAAATCCAAACCATGCATTTGCTAAATTTAGTTAAGACTATCCATATTATGTTTAATCTGAGATAATTTATTAGCTCCTTACTTTTGAACAGATTTGTTTAGTTAATTATATATATAACTGCATTGAAAAAGCAGAATCAAATTACCTACTCAGTGTTTATATTTTGTTTTTTGATTCTTGATTGTAAGTTTCACCTTCTTTAACTACAGACTGTTTCGTGCTTGTGGGTTGGATGTGATTTGCTAGTCAAACTTTTTGACCCATTTTCAGTGCTAATCTGGGTCTCAGGTTTGGTAACAAAAACAATCGAAATCCATGTGTATTTATCAATGAGGTAAAATTCTATGGAATTACTTTTATAATTCAGAAATGTCAAATAAAAACATGTATTATCTTATCAACTGTGTATTAAAAATATGTGCAACTGTGCTTACAAAACCACCTCTGCTATTTCAAAGTGTTGTGGCTAGTGTTTTAATGCTGAGTGTGCTCTGCTTGAAATATAATAATTCTACTCACAAATATGTTGTATGAAAAACTGTACTGTAGTTCCACAAACATCTTTCTGATGTAGGAATGTTGGTACGACACAGATTTAAGAATTTAACAAAGTAGAGTTAACACTTGCAGTATTCTAGGATATCCTGGAAATATATCATCAATAAATGATCAGAAAACCATTATTCTGCAATAGCAAAATGAATCTCAAACAGAATCTTTCCTCTTAGAAGCTGTCTTCCTAGAGCTTAGTCAGCTTAAGTTTGGAGCTTTTTTCTTTTTTTTCTTTTTTTTTTTTCTATTTTAACTTTTGTTTCCAGATCACTTTTCAGCATTTTGCAGGTTACTCCGTGACATTTTGAAATAAAGTTAGTTAAGTAAGAATTTATTATAAAATCTCCATTATGATGGAATAGACAGTTAGATTATAGAAACTTCTAGGTAAATGCAAAAGTAAATCCAGAAGGTAGTGAAAACTATCCCTGACTGCTACTTGGTTGTTCCTCTATGTGAAATGAACTAGACATTTTTGGTATATGTTTCTGAAATAACAGGATCTGTCACAAATTCTTCCCTATGCTTGCCAATAAATTTTATCTTTGGCAATGATTTTCACAGAGAGAACAAATGTTGCAGGGAAATAAAAACTTGTTCTTAGGAGTAGTTCCTCAAAAGCGGTCTAAAGCACCTTGACATACTTGTCTGAAGAAGACCTTTGGTCTCTGAATTTGAGCCTGCCGTGCTTCCTGACTATTCAGTCATATTTTTAAGTGAAAAGAGTCAAAATTAAGTAGGAAGACTTAATTAATTCTAAAAAAGTGAGAGCTAGAATAACTAAAATTGTGAACTGGCAGATTGTGTTAAGTACTTGGCTTAATGTCTGAATATTATGACAATTCTAAATGAACCAAACGGTGATTTGATTTAAAATGTCTGTAATTGGGAAGTTGTTGGCAAGAACCAAACGTAGTTTCAGAATGTTTAGTTTTGGTCTCTGCCATTTTTGGTGTCATATTAAGTAGGAAATTTCAACTCTCGAGTCAATTTATTGATAGTAGTTAAACTGAGTTTAAATTAGGCGTATTAAATTTGTCCACTGCTTGGGGAGATTTTTGTTAGGTATATTTTATCCGGTAGTTGTTTAGAAAACAAGAGTATGTGCTTAATAGTTTTTATGATGAAAAGTGTCAAATGGAATTAATGCTGGTTGACTAATGGTAGTATTTCTGCTCTTACCAGCTTACACATTGCTGTGCTGCAAGGCCTGTCCTCTTTGTTTCCTGTAAAGCTATAGTTGTTTAGGTCAACGTTTTATACTGTTGTTTTGATTTCTTTCCTTTTTTTTTCTTTTGATAAAAATATACAGATTTTTTTACAAGGTCACTTAAGTAATTCTAGAAGGCTCCTTTGAAGTTAAGTTTTTGTACGTTCCATATATGATCTAAAAATATAATTTTGCCTTACATTTCTGCTGGGAAGACAAACCTCTTTACACAGAGCTGTGGATGTTTTCTTTTGTTGTCAGCAGTAAACATCAGAAATATTTTAACTTAGCATCCTTATTTATCTGGTGATTTTATCCATTTTCTGTAGCCAAACAGCTAAGTACAGATTGACAGTGTTTATAATCTGGATATTAACTAGTTTTTTTTAAAAAGGCCTTGGTGTGATTTTCCTCAGGCAAAATTGTAATGAAATCGAGATGAATTGTCAGCATGATACAATTCTTCTGTTTTGATTTGTGTAATCTAATATAAATATGCATTTGAATTCATTTAATGAAAATATTCTCAAATGATGTGGACCACATTATGAAGCAGTCTTCACTTACTAGTGAATTTTTCTTAATAGCTTTGCAAATGATTTTACAAGGGGACCTCATTTAAAAATGAAAATTGTTAAAATTCGATTCAACTTTCAATTGAGTTACCAAACGATTATTTTGTAGTACATAGTTATAGAATCTGGCTATTTATCTTCATTGGCTATTAATTGTTTATTAAAATGCATGTGTGTTTTTTGGAGGAAAAAAGAAATAGAAAATCATTGCATTAAAAATCATCATAAGTCTATATTAGGCTGGATTTATCATCAGAAATACTTTGTCTTTTGTTAGATAAGTGTCTTGTACCGCACCGAGTACGTCAGCTATTGTCTAGGATAGTCAGGAAAATGAAGTGTTGTGCTATTCTAAAATCTCACCCTTTCGTAGGAGAAAAAACCTGAATCTTCATCAAAATATCATTATGTTTCTAGACACAATCCTAAAATACTCCAGCTAACAAATAGAATTTATCTTTAAAATTAATTGAACATATCACATGAAGGTAGTTTTGTCCACTTTTTCAATGAGTACAAGCAGTACCTTTGATATAAAAGTCAGTGGTGTGTGAAAACTAATTATTTCTTCTCTTTGGTTGTTGGCTTGTAATAGCATGCACTCAGAAATACTGCAGAGTTTTTAAAACAGCTCAGTTCTTTGACTATTTCATTGTGTGGATCCTGAAGCTTTTACTTGGAATTTTTTATGTTAATTGGCCTTTTCTTAGGGAAAGCTTCTTTTGTACTAAATTTTAGCCTTTATTTTAAATCACAGTGGTTTGCCTTCTCTGGTATTCTGTATCTACACTACTGAAAAGGAAGCATTAGATCTGTTCGATTTGACTCAGTGTGTTTAAAACACCTATTAAACAGCTGTCATTATTCAAATTGATATTAACACAGTGTATTCACAGAATTAAATGTGATAGTACAGTTGAACTAAATTAATTTGATTCCTCTGTAGGTTTGATTCTTCCATTGTTCATATGCTAGAAGAATTAGAAGAGGAAACTTTATGATCTGCTATCTTAATTTTTTATTTAAAAGTTTCTTATTCATGATGATGTTTATATATTTATGACAATCATGTATACAAAAATTATCAGGTTGTCTGTAATTACAAACCCACTTATAATGTCTATTTTTAGGTATTTATATTTTGGGGGGAATCCATGCCAGATGAGAGAAACCAATGTAAAAAGAAAACAGTACTGACAATTTCAAAAGTTAGTTACTCCTAAGGGTGAAAATTAGGGAAAATCAAACATGCAAGAAAAAGTCACTGAGAATAGGTTACTTCACTCATCAGATTGTGATGTTTTTTATATTTGGCATGAAATAAAATTCTGGAAAACATGGTAGCATCAATTGCAGAAAAGAGATTGCAGATGTTAATGGAAAGGCCTTATATCTATAATTTCCACTTATTCTAAAACTCAATATGAACTTTGCCAGAGAGAGAGAAAGGGAGAGAGGAAAGTAATATATTTGCCTATAAAATATCTTTTCTTTAACACAGTTTAAGAAAAAAGATGAGGGCTTAAGCTGATGTCTTTGTTCTGTGCCAGCATGTCCCCCCGCCCCCAATATCTTTTGAACCAGTTAGTCACTTTCAGTCAAATTAAACACAAAAGGGGTAGTCTCAAAATGCATTTCTACTATACTCATGAAAATTGGTAGTCAGTTAGAGGAGATGGAGAGTCTTTTCATCCCTTGCTGTAGTAAAGGAGACAGTGTGAGTTCACTCCTTTTTAGAGAGAATCCACAAAGCGGAGAGGCTTTAGGAATTCCCAGTTACAGGAATAGCTTCAACTGAAGAGTTCACTTACTAGACGTTAAATAATTCAACCATGAAACATGAAGCCATAGGGAACCAAGTACCATTAGTTCTGTTGTTTATGGAACAGTTTATCTTCATAATGTATTGAAATAATTTGTTCATGAAGTACTAAAATATGAAATTCAAGAATATATAAATCAAGAAAAGTGAAAGGGAAAACTGAAGAGAAGGAAAATGATTCATAACCTTACTCAAATGTGGAAGATAAAAGAATTTTTTTTTTACTTTCAAAAAGTTATATTTGTTTTTGAGCTATTTCGTATTCATAGTTTTCATTATAAAAGAGCTTTAGTGATAATGGATTTCAGCTTATGGGCCTGTTCTCCAAGAGCAGGAAGCGATAAGTATTAAAATCCAAGTTTTGTATGTTTGAATATTCTCAGTGTTTCCTTTTGATTGATAACGGCAATCTGCTCCTGTTTTTCAGTAGTGTTGCAGCTACTGAACATCCTGAACATCTACTGTTGCACTGAATTTTGGAAAACTTCAAAACCATAAAATTTTGGAGTGAATCTCCTTATCATCCTTGTGCTTGTCACTTTGGTTACAGGACAGCATCGTGTTAAAGTGCTTTAGATACCTTGCAAACTTTTTGAATAAAACTAAACTGCGAATATTCTCCATGTAATAACGGGTGGTCTGT